AACTATGGGGTCAGTGTTTTTCCCCATAGTTCTCCTTAGGGTGAGGGGAGGACACAAACTAGCATCCTCCTGTTACCCTAAGCTGTAGCTTGCGTTATACTGAGCTTAGGGTGACGGGAGGATGCTAGTTTGTGTGTGATAGGAGGGAGCCTCCTGTGATAGGAGGCTGAGCGATGTGGGAGGAGAGACGCCGGCCGCTCACAGCGCTCTCCTCTCGCAGCGCTCGGCAGGCTGTCACACTTTCTCTCCTCCCCGCTGGGACACAGAGCAGCGCCCAGCGGGGAAGAAAGAAAGCAGGGATGCGCTGATGTATGGACAGCAAAATGGCACTTTTTCGACATTATACCAAAAGTGCCATTTTCGTCCGATATGTTTCGGCGGCCGATATATCGGTGCATCCCTAATTACAGTGGTATGCATCCAGCCTACAGTATAGAGATCACAGTATTCCCCCTGACATTGCCTTGATAAGCTTTTCCTCCAGGAGAAGGGCACCATTTTGTGCAAGGGATACATATGTCTGGAATCGACTTCCTAGACTGAGATACCGGTTCAGGGATGTTACAATCATGTAGATCCTGGTGCCTGTGAGTTCTTGGCTGTGTTCACTAAGGTCTGCCACACATCATTGTGACTCCTCACATTGTGAATTGCTGCAAAGTTACAATTTTGCAGTCTGGTTCCTGGGAGGAAAGACTCAGGAAATGCTTCTACTGGCTGCAGCATACTGGTAACCTCATCTCCCCCAAAATCAGTCACCGAACTTGAGCTGAAGAACTAATTCTAATGATAAAAGGTATAGCTTCTAAAACCTGAAGTTCTGCTGTAAAGTTCTAGCCGTATACTTTAAGTTTAAAGCAGAATTTCCGGCACATCAAATCTTAACCCTTACAGTGGGGCTATTCCTGCACTACAAGGGTAAAGTGCTCATTTTGGGAGCTAAACAATACGATAATCGTACAGTGTATGGGCACCTTTAGCCAGAGGTTCCAGAAAATAAATTGTTTTGCAGGGAAGCAGCTGGCCTTTCAGTTTTTTCCCGGTTTTTCCAGATTGTAGCTGGGATCTGGATCTCTGGAGATTTCTTATAGTTCTGGGTGGGATGAAATCTCCAGTCCTGAGGTCAGGTGTTGCCGGTGGACAGATCAGGTGACTGAGAGCAGCCTCATTAAGAGCCCAGACCAGAGCTCAGAGTTGGTGTGGTGTGTGCTGGAGGCACACAAGCAGGGCTGTCTTTAACACAGGGCAAAAGGGGCAGTTGCCCGGGGCCCAGTCATTGTTGTGGGGCCCAAAGCAGCTGCCCCTTGAGCCCACAAAAGATACACGTGCCACCGTTCTGTTTACTATGCAATCTGCATTGTGTAGTGTTGCTCGGCCCCTGCCGTAAGCCGCATAGCGCAACGTCTCACGCAGGGTCATGTCTCCCTCTAAGGTTTCCTACTATCTGCTCTTTTGGAGAGCGAAAGTGCATGGTGGGAGGGGGGCGGGGGGCCCAAGAAAATGTTTGCCCGAGGTCCAATTAATGTTAAAGACGGCCCTGCACACAAGGGTTCAAGCTTCAAGACAAGGGAGGTGTCTGTCCAGGAGTCAGGAGGTCTCTATCCTGGAACCAGCTTGTGTGTCAAGTCTGTTGGATGCAGCCTGATTGGGAGAGGTTTAAAGTAATAACCTGGAGTTGGTGAGACTTGGAAACACGTTATTTTGCTTAAAGACAAGCTGAAGTAATATTCTTATGTTGGAGAAACCCCAGTGAGGGAAAACTTGTGTACATTTTTACATAAAAGTGGGCAGGAAGCCCTAAAAAGAACATGTTTGCGAGTGGACGATGTCCTTAAAGCGCTCACCAAAGGTGCTATATTCCCCAAACATCACAATATATTCACCCAAACAGTGATTCTAGCTTCCGCTCCAGCGATGGTATGTCCCTCGGTGTCCTCACGTTCGATACAATGTATAGGGCGTGATGACTCACGGGATCTTAGACTGCTGGAGCAGAGGGGTAGCGCGGGTGAAGGGACTGGTCTAAGCCGGGATCATGGTTTGGGTAAATATAACTTTTTATTTAGCTCTCTAGACAAAATGAGCACTTAACCCTTGCAGTGCGAAGGTATCCCCACTGCAAGGGTTAAGGTTTGATTTGCCCGGAGTTGTGCTTCAAAGTGTAGATTTATCCTGCAATTACCACCTGTTCTTTTGTGCTGTTGGGACTCACACAGTCACACTTGGACTTATTGCCCATTGTTTGGAGACACAATGAATGGTTTTGCTGTGTTTGATCTATACTAAACGTCACTGATTTGTGCAGTGCCTGTGACATTACGTTATTACCAGTGAATATAACTATTTTCTCACAGGTAAAGTACTATATATCAAAACCCTTGTGTGAAGAGGAGGATCATCTGATTTTCTGTTTTGGACCATTGGATAACAAAGATTCTGCAGCAGAGAATGCTTGTCTCGTATGTTTACTGATTATTTACAAACCTGCAGGACTGGTATGTCCTAACAGCAACAAATAAGCAATGAAAAAACGATTCAGTCTTTTGTGTCTTGGCTGCTTCAATGTATGTTTCCACGCAACACATGTAATATTTCTGCGTGGTGTTTAATCACCAGCTGGTTACCACCTATGTAGGAATTCATACATGTATATGAAAAGCGTGCTTCTCTTTTTTGGAGGTTGGATGTATTTCCTTTTTTAATTGACTTTTTTGTATTCCCATATGGTACATTTAATAAGCTGTATAAACTCTTTTATAAACATTTGAGGTTTTTAGGGATTGTGAATAATAAACATTGTTGTTTTATTTCTTTGAAACACCAGACTCGTGTGAATTCTCCATTATTTGATCTTCCTCACTCTAGAATTACCCTCACCTCTACTCCGGTCACCCTCTTGCTTTATCCTACACTCTCGTACTCACATTTTCAATATTTTCTTCTCTACTGGCATCTTAGCCTCCCCTCAAAAACATGCACTGGTCACCCCAAAAAACTCTCACTAAACCCCACCAACCTCAGACCAATCTCCTTACTCCCCTTCACCTCCAAACTCCTGGAACGTCTAATCTACTACTGCCTGAGCCGCCACCTCCCTGATAACAATCTCCTCAACCCCTTACAGTCCAGCTTTTGCCCCCCTACACTCCACTGAAACTGTCCTCCTAAAACTCACTAATGACTTACTAACTACTAAAAACAATGGTCAGTACTCCTTACTCTTGCTATTAGACCTTTCTGCTGTTTTTGACAAGTGTCCATCCACAACTCTGCCGCCGGCTACATCTCCAACCTTATCTGAAAGTATCACCCTAACCGTCCCCTTCTCTCCTCCCAATACCTCCTCCTCGCTTCATCATCAACTCCTCCAATGTACGCCTCCAGAACTTCTCTAGAGCCTCTCCTATCCTTAGAACTCCCTACCCCCAACCTGCCAATCTATCTCCTACTCTGTCTGCAGTTAGGTGATCCCTAAAGACTCATCTCTTCAGGAAAGCCTATTCCGCCTCAACCTAACCACTGAATTATCACTCACACAATTTATCCCCACACAGCCACCACCTCTTGTCTCACTTGCCCCTCCCTCTTAGGTTGTAAGATTTCTCTGGTGTCTGACTGAATTTCCTGAGTAGAAAATGTTGAATGTTTCGGCTTCAGGCCTAATGAAGAAAGTCTGCAATGTGAGTCATGAAAATGTGCACATAATACATCCCCCTGCACCTCTTCATTACCACATTGAATGCCAATCACTTACAAAGGTGGAAATGGACTTTATAGTCAAAACCTTATTTTTTAGATTTGAATAGAGTAGAGGAGGATTAAAACATCTGTTCATTTATGTTTGCGGTTTGTCACAGAGATGCAAGAGGAAATCTCCCCAAGTGGTATCCCCATTAGAAGATTTTCCCTCACCTCTTTTTCTGAGGATAACTCTGAAATCTTGAATTTCCCTTCACTTTCTTATTCGAGAATGGTCACCAGTACAAATAAAGAGAGTGAATCTTCCCAATGGAAATACAAACAGTAATAAAAACTTCACAGAGGGTCCAACTCTTCCCCAGTCAATTCAAAACTAAAAAAAAGTGTTGCCTAGAGATTCACTATGTTAAATGCACTCATCCCCATAGTTACAGCCAGCTCTATTGATCGAGAGCTGAGCGATCACAAACCACTGATCACTCAGTTCACGATCTTCTCTCTGTAGAGCGGTGACTGTCAGCCAAGGATTCCCAGTCCCTCTCTCTATTCCTCCAGCGCTCATTGGAGGGACAGACAGGGGAGGGGGCGGGCACAGCTTGCTCTAGAGAGGCGGAGCCAGCTGTCAATCAGGTAGTAGTGTGGATCCTGAAAATATTGCCTGGATCCTTCCTGGCTGCACGAGCTCTGCGCTGTCAGCAAATAGTGGTCAATAGCCCGCTATATGCCGAGTTTTGGGTCACAGGAGGACATTAGTAAAAAGGTTTGGCCATAGTTCTATTTTAAAGGCACATGCACATGGGCATATTCCGGAACAAATACTGGCATACAGCATAAAATACACCTGTTGTTGTGGCGGGTTTCTTCCATAAGGACAGAACACGCTATAATGGCGTTTGCACGCTCACAGGGGTACTTTTTTGAATGTGAAACGTCTGCTATCTAAATGCACCCTTGTTTAAACGATGGGCCAGTGTTTACAGGAGTCCATCCAGGCAATGCAAATACAGCCATATTTTCTACTGTATGCAAACCGGTGTTTGCTCCTGAATACGCCCCTGTGCATGAGCCTTATCATTGTGCCGTTTCAGTATAGCTCTTCTTTATCATATGTCCGATCCACGTTCTAGACAATGATACACAACGTTGAAAGAATGTTTTTTCAGTTTTAAATCGCTGATAAAACAAACGTTTCCGTATGCCGTTTCCATGGAGACGAGCTTTAGCCCACTTTCTCGCAGCCTCACGTGACACGCCCTATCCGGAAGTCGAGCCGGAGTAGGCGGAGCGTGGTGGACAGGGGCTGCGCACGCATGTTCGTTGATGTCAGAGCGGGTGACGTGTCTGAGACTGGGAAGCAGGAAGTGATATTTTCTCGGAGTGCAGGCTTTTTGGTGTTCAGTACCGGGAAGGACCCATTATGGCGAGTTCTCAGCGCACTGGTCTGCTCGTCCTATTGCTGACCGTTACTGCCTATATCCCTATGCCCGGGGCAGCCTTCTACCTTCCTGGTCTTGCTCCTGTCAGTTTCTGCGAACCAGGAAAAGAGACGGAGGGCTGTAAGGTGAGTGGTGGCATTTGGGGCCTCCCTTCATCAGAGGCTTCCTGCTGGACAGTCCATAGGTTGCACTGTACACAGCACCTCTGGCCTTTCTAGGACGTGGTCAGTTCCAGAGATCGGGGTCTTCAAAGGGAGCCATACATTTGTTATGTGATGTAATTCCTGTTAGTGGACTTTTATAGTTACCATTCCATATTTCTGTTATTGCTTTTTAACTTGATCTTTATTTGACGGGGGTTAAATCAATAAAACCTCCCCCCTGCTGTGGGGCTACCCAGTAATTGATCAGTGATGTCTAGGGTGGCCGTGGAAAGGACTTTTATTCACCTGATCCCCTCTCCTGCTTGCTCCTAGTCTGGCACCTGCAACCCCATCCCATGCTCCAGCAGTCGGAGGCTTGATAATGTCATCAAATGCAATGCAGGACCCATAGTCCCGCATTATGTGTGATGACCTAGAGTGGCAGTCCACAAGCCAAAGTGTAGGGGAGATGAGGTGTGCCAGGGGAGCAGATAATTACTTTACATAGGTCATCTAGACAGTAACAAGCGGTTAACCCTTGCAGTGTGGGAGTAGCACCATTACAAGTGTTTTGTGGTTTGTTTGTTTTTTCCCTAGGGATGAGCGCTAAACACAGAGGGGGATTTGTCAAAACTGGAGCGACTGTGCATGGCAACCAATCAGCCTCTCTCACTTTCAAATCTTAACTGAACAAACAGAAGAGAGAAGCTGATTTGCAACTGCTCCAATATCTGTCTGCTCTGATTTTGATAAATGCCTTCTTTATGTCTAATAAATGTACCAAATATTCTCTGTGTAAGTGACATTGTCAATGTTTTTTGGTTATTTCATTGTGAATGTGCTGCTCCTTATACTGTATAAAACATCTGTAGAGTCCCTGCTAATAGACTTCAACACACAGCAACCAACAACTTTAAATAAGGAATAATATAGTGATGATTGCAGCTCTTAAAACGGGATGTATGTATGTATGTGTGTGTGTGTATATGTATGTGTATAATAT